CCCTAGAGGCTATGTTTGCCTGGAGAAAACTGAAGGAGGAGAAGCAGGATGAGCAGAAGAATGAGAAGGACCTCTGTGTATGTGTTCAGGGGTAGTATGTTTGTTATTGCTTGTGTTCCTCAGTAGAAGTCAGGTTTTAATGTGTTAAGTGTATTGCCATCTATCTTATAGATTTTTAGGCCGTGTTAAAGAGGAATGGTGTAAGATATAAGAAATATAATTTCTTTCCAAAGATATTACAGCCAGTCCATTCTTGTTATTTATTTTGGTATGTGCTAATACAACTACTAGTTTTTTTGGTATCCATTTATTGAAAAGTTTAGTTTTGATATTTGATTTGAAGATTTGCCCCTTTTTAAGTACTCGTATAATTGACGGATATCCATGTGCAAATCAGTTGCATTAGGAAGCAAAGTAAGACTCAGTTTTGTTTTTATTAGTTGCTTTGTCATTGTTTTAATCACTGCATTATATTTATTTTATTTGTAAAAAATTTATTTTTCTTTTTTTCATGGAAGGAAATAATTATGAAATTTTAGACTTCATTTTGATTGTCATAGAATAAACATTAGCCTTTTTTGTAATTAGATTAAGACTTTTTGTTTCCCAACAGGATTATATGAAAACATTTTTATTGGATAATAAAAGATTATTTCACAAGGAATTAGTGATATTTTTATAGGTTTTATTACATAGAAAGTACAGGCTTTGTTGCAGTTGTGCATTATGACATAGCTAGTTATTGGTTTCTTAAGTTGTTCATATAATGCTGTTGCAAAAACACAGGTGCTGTTACATTGTAATTTAAACTTGATGCATTACTTTTTATCTTTGTGTTTTAACTTAGTAGTGTAATTTTATGTAATCTTTGTTTCTGGAATGTAGTATGATGATAAACTGCCAGGCTGTTTCAAGCCAATCTGATGACACTGTGATTCCCTTTGACATAATGCTGTTTTATAAGTAGAAAAAGAACAAAGCATACACCACTGGTTTCTTGGTGCAGTTTTCCGACATTATTTACTTTAAAAACAAAGAAGACTTGCTATTTTCTTTTCTTATAAAACAGTGATTATTATTTTAGAAAGATAGGTAAATTGGTTAATAAAATAACCATATTATCTCTCATTTATTTCTTCTTTTGGTTTTATGGCTAATTGGTTCTTGAAGATTAGTTCTTTAGTCAAACATGAAGCACATACCTTGTAAGTGCATCCTTTTTTATTATGCTTTTAAAGAGGATGCTTTTGACCGGTGAAATTCCAAATCAGTTTCTTATTTGGAGTCAGTTACAGGAGAAAAAAAGTTAGTTTTTTATATCCTCTTCTCATGATGGATACACAGCTCAGGGAGTAAAGCTGATCTCAGTTTTTTACCACATGCAAACAGTGTTCATTTCTGTCACTGCACACACATCATTCATTGCTCATAGTTCATTATTTACTTATCAGTAACCATTAAGAGCTGTAACATTTTATGGATCATTTTTTGCATTTAGATGATTTAGTATTTTGTAAAAGATTATAGTATATAATCCTCTTCAGCCACCATCTGCAACTCGTTCATCCTTGTTCAGCTTTGTATCCACATGAATAAAATAGTCTTGCCATTGTCAGGCACTGAATGTCCTTTAGGTTCGTTCACACCCACTTCAGTCACTCATTATTTATGTTATCATTGGCCCATTGGATAATGCTTACATTGACTATAAGTATTATCGAATGTGGTTAATACACAAATGTGTATGCTATCATGTAGTTTGTAATTGAAAGTAAATGGGTCTGACCTTTGTATGTTTAGACAGAAGTTTCAATAAATGATATTTTTAATTTTCTGTTTTAATGTCCAACTGTGAATGATTGAAATTTTGTGCCATGTCAGTTATATAGAAAATGCATTCCACTACTGTATACATATAATATAGATATACATATATTTGTATGTGTATACATATAAGTATGTATATACATGTTTGTATATATATATGTATATATATATATGCATATATTATGAATATCTATGTATATATCATCATCGTCATCATGGGGGCTGACGCCGACGGGGGCGCATAGCCGCATCCACCCTTCGCTTCCACCTACGAGGATCCCTCATGGCTAGACGCCAGGCAGGGACTCGGCAGATCTCTAGTTCTTCACGGCAGGTTTGGTCGATCTGGCCAAGCCATGACTTCCTCGGTCGTCCCACAGGCCTCCTCCACCCAGGGTTGTCTCGAACAGAGACGACCTGATGGGTAGGATCATCCTGAGGAAAGCGAGCCAGGTGGCCGTATAGCCTGAGTTGGCGATCACGGATAGTGCAGATAACAGGGCTTGTGCCAGTCTCACGGTGCAACCGTTGGTTGGACACATGGTCCCGCCAACAGTACCCCATGATTTGGCGCAAGGACCTATTACAAAAGGCTTCAAGACGAGCCTCCAAGGCACAGGACAATGTCCAGGTTTCCCTACCGTATAGCAAAACTGGCATTATCAGGGCCTTGAAAACCCATAGCTTGGTCCTTCTGCACAGGTACCGACATCTCCAAATACTCTTGTTGAGAGAGTTCATGACCCCTGCTGCCAGGCCAATCCGTCTGCTGACTTCATGGTCTGACAGCCCAGAGTTATGAACTACACTACCAAGGTATGTATAGCTCTCTGTGACTTCAATGTCCTCGCCGCAAGCACGTAATGACTGAACAGGTTCTCCTAACAAGTCCCCAAATTCCTGGACCTTGGTCTTGGTCCAGGAGACCTCTAGACCCAGGGGCTTCGCTTCATTGCTAAATGCATCAAGAGCCGCCACTAGGGTTTCAAAGACTCAGATAGAATGGCAACGTCATCAGCAAAGTCAAGGTCTGTAACCTTGATATTGCCCAGCGTTGCCCCACAATGACTTTGAACAGTAGCTCTGCCCAGTATCCAGTCCATGCAAGTGTTGAAAAGAGTTGGTGCAAGGACACAGCCTTGCCTCACTCCTGAACTAACAGGAAAGAAGCTCGACAGGCCCCCACCACACTTTACAGTACTTTCAGTACCAGTATACAGGCTTGCTATTAGTCCAATAATCCTTGTTGGTATTCCTCTCAGCCTCAGGATCTCCCAAAGTGACTCCCGATGCACCGTATCGAACGCCTTCTTGAGGTCGATGTAGGCTGCAAGCAGCCCACGCCCGAACTCACGACGGCGCTCTACAATGACTCGAAGCGCGAGGATACGGTCTATTGTGGACTTACCAGGAGTGAATCCGGATTGCTCCAGTCTCTGGTGCCTCAGTAGATGGTCTCTGATACGTCTCAGAAGGATGTGGGCGAGAACCTTGCCTGGTACACTGAGCAGTGTGATGCCTCGGTGATTGCTGCAGTCCAAACGGTCCCCCTTCCCCTTCCAGAGAGGGATGACCACACCCCTCAACAGGTCAGGAGGAAAGGAACCGGACTGCCAGATGGCAGCCAGGACAGCATGTAACCCCCGTGCCATAGGTTCACCACCAGCCTTTAACAGTTCAGCTGGTATGCTGCTTTACCACTCTTCAGCTTGGAAATCGCCCCCCTAACTTCAGTTAGGGAGGGAGGGTCCTCACTGATAGGTGGATCCGGCAGCGGGATCTCGACACTACCCGCATCCAAGTTAACTGTTGGTGGGTCAACCTGGTACAGCTGCTCAAAATACTCAGCCCAACGTCCCCGCACCGCAACAGGATCTGAAACGATCTGACCACTTACTGAGCGAAATGCTGTCACCTGTGAAGAGGGCTTGGAGTTCAGCTTTCTCAGGGCTTGGTATGCAGGACGAAGGTCATTTACTAAGAAATGGCCTTCTACCTCCTCTGCAAGACTCCTAATAAACTGTTCCTTGCCCCTTCTTAACAGGGACCGAGTTCTGCGCACATGAGAACGGTGCAATTCCCGATCCCCTGTCAGACGAGCCGCACGACATGCATCTGTGGCTTCCAGTGTCTCCTGCGAGATGGAATTCTGTACTGCTCTCGGGCGTACACCAATCGTATCTTGAGCTGCATCAAGCGTTTCACGCTTAAAGGTATCCCACAGAAGAACAGGGTCTGTCAGACTGCCAAGCACTGCGAAACGATCAGAGATTGCCTCAGCAAACCCGCGGGCACACTCCCCCTCCCACAGCCTGTCCAAATGAAACACCCTAGGGTGATCATTTGACCGTTGGGGATTTTGAAGTGGACCCGGAGGGTAGCCACAACCAATCTATGGTCAGTACCACAGAACTCAGCACTCCTGTACACCCTGCAATTCTGAAGGATCCTCCAACGAGTGCTAACAAGTATGTGGTCGATCTCCTTGGCTGCGTTACCCGCATCACTGTACCATGTCCAGCGATGTGGGTCTGGGCGCTGGTACCAGGATCCAGAAATCCTCAATTTCTGGGACCTAGCAAAGTCCCGGAAAAGGAGGCTGTTTCTCGCTACGGCATCAGCTCCTGAACCATGGGGACCAACAGACATCTCATAGCCAGCTCGATCACAGCCAGATACCGCATTGAAGTCGCCCAGAACAATGCGAATATCTCGTCGGGGACATCTGTCTACCACAGATGTAAGTTTGGCGTAGAACATCTCTTTCACGTCGAGTTTACAAACATCGGTAGGAGCGTACACAGCAATAAGAGACATGAAGCCAAAAGATAGCTTCAATCTCAATACCATTATACGCTCATCAACAGGAGTAACCTCTACTACTGAGTCTGCTGGAGATGGCAATGGCTACTCCCTGGAGATGGTGGCCATCGCTGCGGCCCGACCAGTAATAGGTGTAGCCACCTAAACAGGTCATGCCGCTGCCAGGCCTCCTCACCTCCGAGAGAGCAGCCACCTCAACTCTCAGCCTCCCCAGTTCCCTTGACAGTAGAGGCAACCGATCATCCTGACGCAAAGAACGGACGTTCCAAGCCCCCACCCTAACTTCCCGCCTGAGGTTCAGCCTCTGGCAGTCGCTCCGGGTGGATGCCACCTCTGCCACCCCCACCGAC